TTCATTAATTTGTCACCCTGATTAGTCAATGGGAAGCGTAGCAAAGGTACAATTACCCTTTTTGTCTTTTATTAGATAGGATTAGGCTAGAAGAAGAAAAATTAGGCAATTTTTCTGAAGTAGCCACCCTGTGATCAGTCTCTGTCCCCCAGATGCAGGTCTCTTGGAGGACAAGACGCGTAGCACTGCAACAAACAGGCACTTTATACACCAGACTAGGAAGAGGTTGGACTTTTCATTACCATCCAGGTCAGATGGTACCTATTAGCAGGGGAAAAATTAAAACATTTGGTAGTGTCCAGTTTGCTGAGAATGGGGAGATATAAATATTGTACTAAGAACAAAAATTAGAGAAAAATGGTGGCATCTATCAAAATGTAAAAACCAAATTTGTTTGAACCATAAATTTTCTTCTAGGGAATCATGCTACAGGTAATTAAGTTTGTACATGCACACATATACAAACCTTCACACACATATACAAACATTCACACACATATACAAACATTCACACACATATACAAACATTCACACACATATACAAACATTCACACACATATACAAACATTCACACACATATACAAACATTCACACACATATACAAACATTCACACACATATACAAACATTCACACACATATACAAACATTCACACACATATACAAACATTCACACACATATACAAACATTCACACACATATACAAACATTCACACACATGGGCTGAGGGAACCCCCTCCCCAGTGCACAAATTTTTGTGCACCGGGCCCCTAGTATAATTATAAACACAAACATCCATACATTTATATAGACACACACACATGCATCCAGATGAATAGACCACATTGCAGGGTGCTAATTACGACATGGTTGGTAATAGCAAAAAAAAAGAAAGAGTGGAAACAAGCTAAATGTCATCAATGGTGACTGGTTAAATAAACTATGGCACCTAAATGCAACAAAGTAAAATACTAGTATCCAGTTTTTTGAAAAATGAAATAGCTTTACATATTGAAATAAAAAACATGTCCAAGACAAAATATAAGCTCCATGAGAGCAGGAATTGTGTCTGTTTTGATCACTGCTATACCATCTGGGTCTAGAATAGTATATGGCACAGAGGTCCTCAATAAATATTGTTGAATTGAAATAACTGTGTTATTCAGTAAAAGCATATGGCAGAAAGGGCATGAATAAAGAAGGTAGCAATGAACAACACCTTGACCGGGTGTTCAAAAATAGCATCACAAATGAGGTATATATGAACATGTGTGACTCTAGTTGTGCTATTCTAGAACATATCACTTATGTAGTATCCCACACAAGAATGCATAAAGAAATATCAGACATGCCGAAACCGGTTTGGCTCAGTGGATAGAGCGTCGGCCTGTGGACTGAAAGGTCCCAGGTTCGATTCCGGTCAAGGGCATGTACCTGGGTTGCGGGCACATCCCTAGTGGGAGATGTGCAGGAGGCAGCTGATCGATGTTTCTCTCTCATCGATGTTTCTAACT